CGAATCCGCCCCGCCGCCGCCGCCCGGCCCTCGGCGCTGCGTTCCGCCCCGCCGCCGTTCCGGAGGGCCCGCCCCGCTACCGGGCAGGAGGCGGGGATCCGCCGCGGGAAAAGGGGAATAAGGGTGGGAAGGTGATGGTAGAAGAGAGGAATGGTCTGGGTGGGGAAAAAAGCCACTTTTAAAGCCATCTGGCCCGCCCCCCCCCCCCCCCCCCCCGCAGGGACCAGGGCCATCTCCAACCACATCAAGTTGCTCAGAGCCCCGTCCAACCTCACCTGGAATGTTTCCCACAAAGGGGTTTTTTCTTGTTGTTGTTGTTGTTGCTTTTTCCCTTTCCCTTCCTTTTCTCCCGACCCTCCTTAGGGGATAGGGGTGTTAGGGGGGATAAGCGAGCGGCTGTGCGGCCCGAGGTGAGGGCTGGTTGAACCACGACACGGTGACAGCACCACCAGAGCCACAATCCCAGTGCTGGACGCCTTTATTGCCAACAACTGCCTCGGGATCAGGCGAAGTGGGAGGGGAACCAGGGTGGGGTTGGGGGGCCAGGGACCCCCAGCTCTCAGTAGCTGTGGGGGGACACAGGGGTGCTTCTGTCCCTGGCTGTGGTCCAGGGCAAGGCGGGCAGCGAGGGACACTGCAGCAGAACTGCTCGGGGCTGGGTGGAGGGAAGAGGCAAAGGGGGCATCATTGGTGCTTGAAGTCCTTCTTGTCACCTTATCTCTATACCCGGGGCTGATACTGAACGTTTGCTCCAAGCAGCAGTAGATTCTGGGAGAAAGAAAGAAAGCGTGGGGCTGTGACAGGCCCTGGCAGCCACTTTCTGTTGCAGGCTGCTGTGCTCCTGGCACGCACCACATTTTGGGGAGGGAGGATAGATGGATGGGCACATGTGGTTCTGCCAGCCCCTGTGCCTAATTTTATCCCTGGAAGGGCTCGAAGGACATTTCCCAGGCTTTCCTCGAAATAACTGTTCAGCATCCCCGTAGTGGCAGCCCTCTGGGGCTTCTCCAAGACCTCCCACAAGAGGGGCTTTCTCTGCTCCCCAGGAGAAAGGGGAGAGCTCCTTCCACAGGGGCTGGCAGGAGCTGCCTGTGCCACCATAGGCAAATGTGTCCGATGCACACGCGGCATCCCGCCGGCTGGGGAAGGCAGGAGCTCCGGGTAATGCTGCCATAAAGCTGAGCGGGCTATAAAAAGTGTTGTAGGAAATTCTGGCCCCATGTTTCAGAACTGGAGAATGATGTGGTGCTGCCCTGGGGGTGCTGAGCCCAGACCCCCACACGTGGACAGCAAAAGCGGAGCTCTGTTTTGCAGCTCTGCTGCTGGGATCCCAGCTGAGCAACATCCTCCTGCCTGCAGCTGCCCAGCACGGGTCAGGGGATGGGCTTAGCACGGTGCCAGCAGCAGCAGACAGCCAGGCTCCCTGGCAGAGGGCTCGGGGGGGAGCAGGACGGGCTCTGGGCAGGGCTGGGGGCTCCCCACACTCACCTGGTGAAACTGCACGACGATATCAGAGAGCTGTATTCTGTCCAGCAGAGGCAGAGGGAAACCTTGACCTAACCTGTCTGGAAAAGACAACACACGTGGCCACATTGGGATGAGAATCAATGGGACCAAGAGAGAGCACGGGCTGTGCAAAGCACACGGCCATCTCCTCCTCCCAACCCTTTCTTTGCCCGCACCGCTCCAGGGGCAGGCAGAGGAAATTCCTCCCAAGCTCCACACAAGGGCTGGGGGCTGCATGTTGGGACGTGCCACCCCCCCGCGCCCCTGGCAGCCACCAGCCCCGCTCTGGCCCCATGTGCTGGGGAGTTGTGAGAAGCAGGGAGTGGGGGAGAGGGTCTGGAAAGCATTAGGATGTGCGTCGTGCTCATTTTTTTCCATTGCGTTCACTGCTGGCTGCGTGTCACAGCACCGAGAGGCTCCCGCACACCACGGCTGGGCGCTTTTACTGCCGTCTCCTGCGCTCGCTGCAGGCTTCATCCACTGTTGAGGCTTGGCGAGAGGGCTTTAATTATCAAGCTGGCTATGTTGAGATGGAGTGACCTGGCCAGTGACTACCCCAACATCCCTATTCCCCCACAGCAGGTACTCACCATTAATATGTGGGACGAGGATATTGGAAGCAAAGATGTTCATTATGGACTGCATTGTTCTCACCTGCGGAGTTGAGAGGGGATGGGGGGCCAGGGACCCCCAGCTCTCAGTAGCTGTGGGGGGACACAGGGGTGCTTCTGTCCCTGGCTGTGGTCCAGGGCAAGGCGGGCAGCGAGGGACACTGCAGCAGAACTGCTCGGGGCTGGGTGGAGGGAAGAGGCAAAGGGGGCATCATTGGTGCTTGAAGTCCTTCTTGTCACCTTATCTCTATACCCGGGGCTGATACTGAACGTTTGCTCCAAGCAGCAGTAGATTCTGGGAGAAAGAAAGAAAGTGTGGGGCTGTGACAGGCCCTGGCAGCCACTTTCTGTTGCAGGCTGCTGTGCTCCTGGCACGCACCACATTTTGGGGAGGGAGGATAGATGGATGGGCACTCATCCTATGCAGAGACAGAAGTGGTGCTGTAAAGGCTGTCCCAATGGAGGCACCCATTCCCACTCTGGTGCCCCTTACCGATGACTGTTCCCACTCCCTCCACCCTGGCTCATCCCCTCTGCACTTGGTTCCATCTTCAGGACCCCAAAACAAAAGCACACCCCCAGCCACTCCGCCCCTTACTGCTCCTCCTCCTTACCTGCCCACAGTCAGGTTCCCAATGATGTGGCCAAATTTCACATCAATGACAGCGGACACGTTGCCTGTCTGGGGAGAGAGCGCAGAGCTCTGGCAGTGCTCACCCCACCTCACCCCAAACCAGACACCCAGGAGAAGGATCCTGACCAGGTGAAATGCTGTGGGACCACTGTCTGACCAGTGGCATGTTCAGTCATCTGTCAGTTTGAATATGTCTCTGCTGGGGACATGCCCACTGCACTAGGACTGGGCTGGTTGTGGATGGCTTTCGACACCTCTCCTGGCAGGAGCTTGGCACCAAGGGCTCAGCACTGCTGAATGCAGCAGGAGGATGTTGCACAGCTCAAACTCCCATCTTTCCCACACTGAGATGCAGGGGAGAGCTCACCAACCACACCACGTCAGCCAGAGCTGTGACTGCATCAGGAGCTGCCCATCGTGAACCACAGTCACCACTGCAGGCTGTGCCCAAACTCACCAGGCTGAGGAGGAAGAGAGGAGCCAGGTTGGAGTTGGGAAGGATGGCGTAAGCCTGGATATCCACGACAGGCCTGAGTGAGAGACCTCCTGGTCCAATGTTCAGGAATGGGGCGGAAGGGGCAGAGAGCCTGAGTTTCATCTGCATGTCTGGGTACAACTCTTCCAGCTGCAGAAAATCAGGGAGATTATAGGGACAGTAGCACAAACCCCTTTTCCTAGGGGACACCACCTTGCACAGAGCAAACCCCCAGCTGTGCACGGCAGGAGCCCTGCACAGGGAAGGCTGGACCACTCACCTGGGGAATAAAGGCTGAGAAGGTGGTGGTCTTCAAGTGGAACTCAACAGTCTTTGGGATCTGCAGGGAGAGGACAGTCACACCAGGGCCATGCAGCACAGCCGAGCCCATGGTGATACCAGCCCTTCGTTTCTGTGCCGCGCCCGACAGCCCCAGCCCCGTCCCTCAGCCCCCAGCTCTCAGTCTCCAGGCAGCTCTTTGGGGGAGCCCTCCAAGACCACAGGCGGCTGCCAGAGTTGCTCGGCAAATGGAACCCACTGCCCAGAGGCACAGGGACAGCCCCTGTCCCACCTGTGCTGCTCACCATGGAGTCTGTGATTTCGAAGACCAGCGCTCCAGCTTCATGGTAGGCAAAGCTGGCTGTGTTGAAGAAATAGCTGGAGACCCCAAAGTAAACCATGCGGTCGTGATCCGGGGGCAAGGTCAGTGCCAGTGGAGAGAAGGGGACGGCGGAGCGTTGGGCCAGGGAATAGCATTCACCCTGGGAAGATGGAGAGAGGTGAAGCAGGAGAGCAGGGGGTGGTGGGACTCACCCATTGATGCAGGCTGGCAAACAGCATTTGCAGGAGGTGCCTAAACCTGGTTCCCCACTCGCCTGCAGTGATGGCATCAGCCAAGTCAAGCTTTCTCAGGACAGTCTCTCACCTTCATTGGCACATCCAGGGACTGGGTGGTAGCCATCGGAGGTCCTACCAAGGAGTAATCAACGCCAGCAATGGCATCTATCTTGGCTGTGACTGTAAAACAAGGGGCAAAAGCATGAGCAGGAGCAAGATGACACAGGAAAGCAGGGAGGAGACAGCCTCTGCTGACATCCAGGCAGTGCCATGCCTGGGCTTCCCTGGGGCAAGAGCTCAGTACCACTGTCATGTGTGCTTGCTCCTGTTTAGAAGCAAAATATCACATTTCCCTCCTGACTGCTCTTAAAACCCCAAGCAGCTCCCCTCTGATACCTGGCAAGGTCTGGACGTACGGCTGGAGGTCACTGCGCACAGATTTGACCACGATATCACAGATCTGCAGGAAAGAAATGCAGGGAAGCTGAGCAAGGGCAGCTCTGCCAGGGGTGGCAAGTTCATGTGCCCCGGGTCAAAGCCTCAGCCGCGCTCTCGGCTTTGCTTCCCAGCACCATTTTTCTGCCTTGCAAAAGCCTGCTTAAATAAAGGGCACACAATGGCATTTTTCTCTACACATTAGCTAGCATATGAATTAAGTATCCAAGTAAGTATACTGATGGTGAAATGCAGAGCGACTGTGCAACACCAGGGAGGAAGAGGAGGGAAAGAGCCTTGGGCATGGCCTTATTGGCTGCTCTTTCCTGTTCCCAGCCGGTATTTGTTGGTCTGAGAACACCCTATCGGTGCCTGGGAAGACAGAGCTGCAGGTGGGCAAACACTGAGCCCAGTGACGGGCACCTCCCAGCGTTTCAGTACTGTGGAACTGGGAGCACGAGGACCACAGAAGCACCTGCAGTCAGAGCAGGAGGCAGACACGGGCTGCCAGGGCTGGGCTGTGCTGGGACAGGGCAGCAGGTAGTGATGGCCATTCCTTCAGCTTTCATCAAGCTGACAACACAAAACTCTGGCTCTAGTCTGCTCCAATCCTCAAAGCACCTCAGCTATAAGTGAGGGCTAAACACCTCCAGAAAAACTCAGAGCTTTACATTCCTCTGCTCACATACCTTGCTCTCCAAAATCTTCCGGAATCTGGACTCAATAACATTATGGAAGAGGTTATAAAGCCATCTGCAGAGAAAAAACAGAGAGGATTCCTTCTTTAGCTCAGAGGCTGCTGCAGAAGTATTTGCCCAGGAAAGGGAGACACTAGAGATGCAGCACTTTTGGGAACATCATTCCCATCCCCATTTGGCATCTACCTTTGCCTCGGGGTTTACAGTTGCAAACAGACCGGCTTGTGAACCACCTGCACACAGGGCTATCGACTGCCTTAAATCTGCCTTAAACGTGCAGCCACAGCAGGACAAATTCAGACCAGATTTAAGTTCATTCAGTTGCACATCTGGATGAGAAGTATAAGGCAAGAGTCCAGAGAGAGCTCGGGAGTGGTGTGCCAGTGCAGGCAGCCCACGGGCAAAAAGGGCAGCCTCCGAGGGACTGCAGATATGCCAGCACCTTATTCCTTGCACCAGGGCCTGGAAGCCATGTTCCCATGACAGAAGGGCCACACACCCCAATTCTAGGCCTGTACAATGAAGTTACGTACCCTAACTTGCCCGAAAAGCGTACTCGGACTTTGGAGATGCGGGTGCTGCAATAAGATGTGTCAATGGTGGGTTTCCCAGAGGCGTCGTTTCCCAGTTTCAGGTTGACTTTGATATAGACGTTCTCCACCGTGATATCAAATGAACCGTGGTCTCGGCTGCAGGGGGAGGAGGACAAGAAGGGGATATTTCTTACTGGTGAATCATGATGAAGGGACCCCGAATCCGCCAGAGTTTTGGGAAAGATCTATCTAACTCAGGCTCTCCCTTGTAGTGCACACCGAAGGAGATCGAGGCGGCTTTTAATTCAGGGAAACCCAATTTCACTGGAACATCAACTAGGAGAGGTAGCTTTTGAATAGAGAGGACCAAGAGGAAGTAGGGGAGATGGGAGAGAGACAGGAGAGTTGAGGCACAGCTCCTCCATTGTCCACCTTGTTCTTGCCTCCCACTCTGCTGTATCAATCTCAGTGGTTGAATGAGTGGCAGCAACCTCTGCCCACCCCCAGTCCTAGCTCAGGTCTGTCCCTGTGGGCACTCAGGAAGGTGTCCCCCTGTGCAAGCAAGAGGGAAGACCATCCCTCACACCCCTGGTGCTACAAGAGGGAAGATGGCTTTCATGATGTCTTCCCACCCATTTGCAAGTGGGATAAACTCTTCCTGGCCATCTCTGAGGGCTCCTGGCCTGGAGGGAGACCTGGCTGCTCTCCCCCAGGTTGAGGGGCTCCCAGACATGCACTGAGAATACAGCAGCTACAGCTCGACTGCGGGAAAGAGAAGTCAGTGCATCTGGAGAAGGCAAAGCAACATCTGCCCAGACACAAGGGAGAAGAAGAAGAAAAATCACAGAGCCCGAGCAGGGAAGGAGGGAGCCAGGTACATACAGGAAGTGTATCTTCACCCGCCAGTTCCCATTCACATCAGCAAAGGCGTTGGAGATGGAGACCTGCAGGCCCACACTGGGGACGAGGGAAATCCTCGAGTACGGCAAGTGGAAATTCTGAAGGTCCAAACTAAAAGTAAAATATAAAAGAAAAAGCTCTTGAGGGGGTCTGCTTCAACACTGCACACAAGGCTGGGGATGCTTGGAGGAAGTATGGCCACGGCACCAGCAGCATCCCCAGCTCCTGTCCTGCTGTGACAAAGCAATGCCTGGCTGGGACACACAGACCAAAGCGGCACCTTTAGAAACAAGGTCGCTGCAGCCACCCAGACAGCTGCCTGGAAACCCCACGCAGCAGGAGCAGAGAGGTGACACTGGGCAGTGAGGAGGTGGAACCTCTGCAGGGGCTGGGCTCCTGCTCCATGGCATGGACAGGCACCCTGCTCCCACAGGCAAGGCCACCTCCACTGCTTGGGCTTCAATTGCACAAAATCCGCCTGCGCCCAGGGTGTGGTCACCCTGGTTTCCCTTTTCCCCTTTGGGCAGAGAGGGGAAGCAAAAGCATCTCTGCCTGCACCAACAACAGGGCCAACATCTTTGGGAGCTGTGGAGAGGACAGAAGGATCCTCACTGCTCCAGGGCCGCCCATCTTCCCCCACCTCTCCTGCCCCTCGCGTGGGTTGGGAGTTGGGGGCAGTGAGACGCTTTGGAGAACTGTCAAAGGCTCACCTGGAGAGCTCATAGTGCACCTTCCCCACATGCCGAATGCGAAAGTCACCAGAGAAGTCTGGCAGCTTCACATGGGTCAACTCCTTCTCCAGGATCGCCATCCCCTGTAGATGTGCTGCAGAGGAAGAGGATGAGTGTCACCAGTCCTTGCTTCCCACAGGAGCTGGGAGTGTGCACCAGGAGCACAGCAAAAAGGTTTAGGAAAAATCCAGACGATGCACTGGCTGCTTTCCACCTTCCAGGCTATCCTTAAGCTATTCTCAGTGCACAGAGACCTCTGAGCACACTGGCAACTGCCTGAGGGCTGCCCATTTGGAAGCCCCAGGGGAAGGTGGTGGCCCGGAGGCATAGAAAGGGGGGAGAGGTCTGGTCCTTCATCTCTGGATTGGACAATGTGCAAGGTGTGCAGGAGATGCTGGGCACTGTGCTGCTCCATGGCCAGCACCTCAGGTAAAGCTGGATGGAGCCCACATCCCAGGGAGCAGCACAGCACGAGTGGGTGCTGCATCCCGGCAGCCATGTGGGAAGGGGAGTCACGTCCTCCTCTCCCGCACGGCTGGCAGGGCTGCTGGGTAAATGAGCTGTTTCTCACACAGCGTATTTCAATCCATAACAGGGCTCTGCTGGAGCCGGGACTCTGCCTGCCTCAATAAAACCAGCGCGAGGCCCATCCATCTCCATCACTGCCCCCCCTGCAGCTCCCCACCTCCTCTCTCCTCCATCACTCGCTTCTGAGGGGCTCACAGCTCGGCTGCCCAGAAACAAGTCATGAGAGCAGGACCTTCTCGCCCTGCCAGCTCTGTGCCTCCCCCCAACACTGCTGGGACACAGCCACCCTACCGCCCCTGAGACCCCGGGACTCCATGAAGGTCGCGGAGGTGGCAGATGGGTGTATCATCTGGAAGCCCAAGGTGATGGTGCATTCTGCACCCACAGCCAGGCATCCCCCCCTGACCTGCCCCAGGACCCCACACACTCCATGTGAGTGCCTGGCTCCACACCTCAGCCACCAGCACACCTGCAAGGAGAGAAAACAGAAGCTGAACATACCATAGTCCAAGCCTGCCTGGGTGATCCGCACCTCAATGCCAGGGTTGGTGGCCCCAGCGAGTGTCAGGCACAAAGCCAGTGCCCCGCAAGCCACTGCCAGGCTCTGTGCTCCCATCCTGGCTGCACTGTGGTGCTGCACTTCTGTCGGGCTCTCCCTGCCCACACCGCCCTTATATTCGTGCCAAAACAGGATCTGTGAGTGAGGGAGGCGTGCAGAGCAGCTGCTGTAGTCCACATGGGACGTCCCCTACAGCCTCAGAACTTCCTTCTTGGCTACCGCCCTGCTTCTCTGCACTGGGGACACAGGTGCCTATGGCATGGCACTGCATGTCACAGCACATCTGCACCCAGTGGCACACATGGTGCCTCACCTCGCAGACAGGGAAGGGACAGTGAAAAGCAGGAGGCAGCAGCTCAGGTTCCAGCTCTGCGCTGGGTGCAGTCCCTGGCTGCAGCAGAGGCAGGTGCTTGGTGAAGCAGACCTGCTGTGGGCAAGGGTTTGGCTCTGCCAGCCATGTTCGATGGTGCTATGTTCTCACTGCATGCTCTGCCTCTGCCTTCACTGACCAAAGGCTGGGGACAGCCCAAAATGTCCCTGAGCCATCTGTCAGCCCTCCTGCCCCTTGCCCTGTCCCACAGCAGCCTCAGGCTGCTCTGCCCTCCTGGGCATTAGCTGCTGCTATCACAACACACACCTGCCAAAGACACCAGTTGCAACCAGAGCAGCCTTGGCCACAGCAAGGGCTAAAGAAGCAAGTTATGGTTCCTCAGTACACATGAGCAGTCCCCATACACCCAGCAGGGCAGGCGAAGGGGCATCGGCCTGGGCTGGGCAGCCACAGCAGGGCACCAGAAGTGACTAAATCAGGGACGTGCCTTGTGCCTCCAGCCCCAGGCACGGGTCTCTGTCACAGAGCAGACACGCACAGGAGGAGATGTGCAGCACACTGGGAACAAGCCCCAAAGGCAAAACTTCTGAGGCCCTGATGTGTCACAGCTCTTGGGCTCAGGATGGTTGGAGATGGGTGTGGAAGCTGGATGCCACCAGGAAGGGGCAAGGGGGGATCACCCCTACAGCCCCAGCCCAGAGAGCAGGGCTGGACGTTGCCCAGAAGCTGCAGGGTGGAGGTGAGGGAAGAAGAAGTGATTTAAGTTGCTTTCATTTCCCATTAGGGAAACCATCAGGACCCAGTACAGGAAACCCGCTGCAGCTGATGTAGGCAGATCTCATACTGGATCCAGGGAAGTCCAGCTTGCCAGAGGACACATCCCTCAATCAGGCACTTATGAAATGCAGCTATTGCTCAAGCACAGCCCGTGGCCGAGCCCCGTGGGGCTGCAACCTGCTCCCCCAACCCATCTTCATCGCGGGGGTAGACACACCAGTGGGCACATGGCCAACAAGCTGGACTTTTTCTAACATCAAAATCCCCTTCAGAGCCCCAAAAGCACCCAAACTACTCCTTTCCTCCACACAAGCTGCTGCGACCCTCCAGCTCTGGCTGCGAGGAGGCACCACTGACCCTACAGGCCCTTATGGCTGGCCTTGGCCCTGCTGCAAGGCTGCAGCCGCAGGGCACGGCTAGCCCCGCCAGCCCAGCCTCCCCAGGCTGCCCATGGAGGGGGGAGAGCGGCCCCACAGACCTCTCCTGCCCCAGGGCTGCGTGGAGGAGCCCCACCACCCGCAGTACTTGCCCCCAGGGCAGTATGGCCGCGTCCCACTTGGAGGCTGTGCCAGGGCCAGGCCGCGTTGCCACAGTGACGGCCCGGAGTCATGGAATCATAGAATCATAGAACTGTTTAGGTAGGAAGGGACCTTTAAGATCATCAAGTTCAACTGTTAACCCAACACTGCCAAGTCCACCGCTAAACCATGTCCCTCAGCACCACATCTACCTGTCCTTTAAATACCTCCAGGATGGTGACTCCACTACTTGCCTGGGCAGCCTGTTCCAATGCTTGACAACCCTTTTGGTGGGGAAGTTTTTCCTGATATCCAATCTAAACCTCCCTGGGTGCAACTTGAGGCTGTTTCCTCTCAGACTCGGCACTCAGCCGTCTTGAACCCCAAACCGTTGGCCTCAGCCCATGGATCCAGCCTGTCCAGATCCCTCTGCAGAGCCTTCCTACCCTCAGGCAGATCAACACTCCAGCCCAACTTGGTGTCATCGCAGACTTACTGCGGGTGCGCTCCATCCCCTCATCCAGACCCTTGATAAATATGTCACACCACTTGTGACCAGCTGCCTACTGGATTTAACTCCATTCTCCACAACTCTTTGTGCCCGACTATCCAGCCAATTTTTCACCCAGCGAAGCGTATACCTGCCCAAGCCGTGAACAGCCAATTTCTCCAGGAGAATGCTGTGAGAAGGCCTTCCTACCCTCAGGCAGATCAACACTCCAGCCCAACTTGGTGTCATCGCAGACTTACTGCGGGTGCGCTCCATCCCCTCATCCAGACCCTTGATAAATATGTCACACCACTTGTGACCAGCTGCCTACTGGATTTAACTCCATTCTCCACAACTCTTTGTGCCCGACTATCCAGCCAATTTTTCACCCAGCGAAGCGTATACCTGCCCAAGCCGTGAACAGCCAATTTCTCCAGGAGAATGCTGTGAGAAGTGGTGTCAAAGGCTTTACTGAAGTCTAGGTAAACAACATCCACAGCCCTTCCCTCATCCACTAAGCTGGTCACCTTGTCATAGGAGGAGATCAGGTTAGTCAAGCAGGACTTGCCCTTCATGAAGCCATGTTGACGGGGCCTGATCGCCTGGTTGTCCTGTACGTGCCGCGTGATAGCACTCAAGATGATCTGCTCCATAACCTTCCCCAGCACCGAGGTCAGACTGAAGAAAAGACTGAGGGGGGATCTGATCAACACCTATAAATACTTAAAGGGTGGGTGTCAAGAGGGTGGGGCCAGTCCTTTTTCAGTGGTGCTCAGTGACCGGACAAGAGGTAACGGGCACAAACTCGAACATAGGAAGTTCCATCTAAATATGAGGAGGCACTTCTTTACTTGGAGGGTGGCAGAGCCCTGGAACAGGCTGCCCGGAGAGGTGGTGGAGTCTTTATCTTCGGAGACATTCAAAACCCACCTGGACACGTTCCTGTGCAACCTGCTCTGGGTGGACCTGCTCTGGCAGGGGGGTTGGAGAAGATGATCTCCAGAGGTCCCTTCCAACCCCGTATCATTCTGTGATCCTGTGACAGGCCTGTAGTTCCCCGGATCCTCCTTCTGGCCCTTCCTGTGCATGGGTGTCACATTTGCTAACCTCCAGTC